TGCATAGTATTATGAATGTGGTGCCCTTCAAGAAAAGCTATGACTGAAACGAAAAAACACGACCATCTTGAGGATTTATGAAACAAAACAATATTAACCACTATTTCGCTCACACACACACAGAACAAGTATAACAAGAAAAACATAAGCATAATCCTTCAGATATACACTCCGTAGCAAGTGCTCTATTGTCTCGCAATAGTGTCTCTGAGAAATAAACCGATAATATAAAGCGAGTTCACAAGTACAGGGAGATAAATGTGTTACATTTATTCAGCTACTGTTGGCCCAACAACTACTCTACAAGAATATGATGGACGGAATTAATATTATATAAATGCATAAAGATTCTCCAGATACTAAGACAATCAGGTGGGTATTATTCTGCAGAAAGTTTTATAGCGACTTTTCAAGATGATTGTGCATACCATTTCGTTTCCATTGTCTTTCGTGGTTGGCAAATAGTATCTCCACGTGTGAGTAGATCAAGTCCTTCACAAAGCAGAATCTGAGCGACCATATTTCAACATTTTAACATGAAACTTCTTTGGCTGAATATTCCAAGAATTCACAAGATTAACACAAGATTTTTCTTCTTTTTTTTTTCAAAATAAATCACACAAGGAAAAAAACACATGGACCGAATTCCCATCATAAAGTTCTGCGACACTTGGGAAAATTGCAGATTTGTCTCCAATCGCTAATGTTCGAATTTAGTCCACTTGTCCTTAGGAGACTTTTTTGTGACGATGTAGATGTCAAAGTTAGATTCCTGGACACGAGCAAACATGCCAGTTTGTCGCAGTTCCTTGACTTTTGTCAGTAGCATGGCTCTTTTTTTTTAGGATACCAGGTAAATCTGTCACCACGCTTTGCTTGGAATTTCTCAGTTTGTTTCGGGCAGCGAATAGCACTCTGTTCCTGTCGCACATCGAAACAAACTTCACAATGATAGGGGTAGGACCCTGCATGATGTGTCCGTCAGGACGAAGCATCCTCGGTAATCTGTGAGCATTGATGAACAGCATAGAATCGGCTGCATCTTCAGGTAACATCAAGGAAGTCTTCAGGAAATCTGAATTTTTTCACTGGAGGACTCAATTATACCGTAGATCAGTAAGTTTCTTCGGCGTGAATAGCATGAAGTTTCTAGCCATCTTTGATTGCACATGGCTATCTCCTCTCTAAGAGCCTTTTCCACCTCCTTCATGCTTGTTTTCAGATTGTTTGTCCTTCTCATGGGATTGGAGGCCTTCCTCAATATCGTCTACTCGGTCTGACACTTTCTTTGTCTCCATAGTTAATTTTTCACATATTTTTTCCGTCTGTATATCCAAAAACTCTTCAATTTTTTCGAAGTTGGCTGCCATGATGGCGGGGGTCGAATCATGATGTACAGAGTTAGATTGGTCATCACGATTGTCACCGGTCAAAAACGGCTCTTTATCACCCTCCCTGGCGACTTGACCACCCCCTTTACCTTTTTTGTTACTTGATTTTCTCGAGGGGGCATTCATTATTGAAGATTGATAAGGATTTTCAAGAGCACCACGATGCTAGCGTTTTTACCCGTCAGTGCGCATACCAGAAGTCCAAGACATCCAAACTTTGTGTGGTAAGTGGACTAATTCTCCCTTCCTCATTGAAGACCGGGAGCTTGTGCATTTGGACACTGCAGTGCTTTGCACCTTACCATCCATTCACTGTGTTATCTCCGCAGAGGATGCTATCACCGCTGCTCTGGAACATGCTTATTCGGATCAGGATGCCTACATTAGAGGATGTATGACCCTCATACTTGATCAGTTCCAGATGTTTTTGGAACAACTATCCCACTGTTTTTATATATACGCTCACTGTCCTTCGTCGTTGGCCTCGTTACTTGTCATCTTTGGATGAACGGTTCAAGGCAAAATTATTTCTGCAACCCTGGTCGTCTGACTCTCTTTTCAATGACATCAAGAAAGTGATCGCTGATGCCCTGTCCTGCTCCAATCGCCCATCCCTGACATAATGGAAACTGCTGCCTCAAGACTTCAGTCGATGATTTACCCGTATCTCGGCCATAAATAGACCTGTTTGCCACAAGATTCAACCACTTCCGATTCAACTTCCGAAGTTCATGTCTCCCATTCCATACTCCCTGGCATGGGATCTTGACGCGCTGGCAGTACCTTGGGAGGGCCCCAACACATATGCGTTTTCCCCTCCAGCTCTTCTACCCAAGGTAATTCAGAAGCTGTTGGTGACCAGCAAGATTCATCTGCTTTTGGTTGCGCCCTTCTGGCTGGTGAGATGTTGGTTCGTTGACCTAAGAAGCCTGACAGAGCCAAACCCAGTACCGCTTCCCGACCGGGACGACCTACTCCTTCATCCTCACTCACACCTGCATTACGGGTCACTTCAGACCTTTCATCTGCACGTTTGATGCATCTTTAAAGGTCACTCATAACTAAGGGGTATTCTAGACGAGTAGCTTAAGCTATCACATCGGCTCATCGTATGTCGACTCGTTCGCTTTATGATCACAAGTGGAAGAGGTTTGAAGATTATTGTAAAGCTAGGGGCATTCCATCGCCCACCTCTGCCTCTGCTCAGGTCATTGCTGAGTTTCTGCAACTTCTGCCACGGGCTACCAATAAACTCTTGGGTCCTACTTTAGCCACCTATTTGGTTGCTATCAATTCGGTTTTGGCTACTACTACAGATACTAAGATCTCCACTGTTCCCAAACTCCAGTACCTGTTACGTTCTTACAAGCCTTTGGAGGACAAGGACTCTGAACAAGTGACTTTCAAAACTTTCTTCCTAGTAGCCTTGGCTACTGCTGCTTGATGCATCAGGTTCGAGTGGAAGAAACATGGCAGGGTTTTCCTGGGTCTCCACTGGGACTTCTTCCCACAAAAAAAACAGCTGCCAGGGTAACCAGACCAAATGTTTACCATTCCCCTGTTGTCCCCTGTTAGGGCACTACACATCTTTCTGGCTGCCTCCAAGGATCGTTGTCGGCTACGGAAGCACCTTGTCAGCTGCTTCAAGTGCTGAAGTTTCCCAGACAACTCTGTCCTGGATGCATGCCACGATCTTGCGTGCCTACACCTTCACAGGATTGCCCCTCCAGCTGCTTCTAATCCTCATGAGACTTGTGCGCTAGCCTCGATGATGACTCTCCATAGCAATAGTTCCTTAACCTCGATCATGGAAGGTTGCTTTTGGCATCTTCTCTTCACATTATCTGCGAGACCTGCCTGTCATGGATGTCCAAGGGCTAAACCAGTTTGCACCCCTCGTACTGGCTCAGCAGCTGACGTCAGCCCACCAACACAGATGAGGGATGGTACCACATACGGTTTACTGCTTCCTTTTATTTACTGAATGTAAGTTTGTTCTCTGTTTTATAGGTTTAGTAATACTACACTTGGTATTATTACTAACGCATTTGGATAGTGTCACCAAGTTGTGACTTGATAGACTTAGAGGCATATTCTTTCACGCGATGTGGAAGTGTTCATTGTTCACGCTTATTGACCTCTACTCCACAGAGTAATTATGTCAGTAAAGTGTGTCATTCCCGAATTCAAGTGGATTTCGTTGCGTTAGGGCTCCTGAGTTGCCGAGCACATCCTTTGACTAAGCTTACGAAGAGGAGTGAGGGTCAATTTGATGATGTTTCGGAACTGAACGTTGAAACCTTTGAGCTTTCTGATTCAATCTTCTTCTCACCCTCTACGTGATGGTGTTTGTGGGGACTGTTTTGAAGCAAGGGCTGGCTCGAATATGGGAGTACCTTGTAATCATGGCGAAGTGAGGTTACTTACTAAGTTGTGTCCTTTTGTCATTAGTACAAAGTTTCTTTGAGAGGCATTTTAGAAGTTGTATAGATGAAGGAAAACCAAGTTCTATGGACCATTATCAAGCAAGTGATGACAGTGTTAGTACCTACACCGAAACGTCACACTCATTGCAATAAAGAAGTTGACTATCCATAGAACTTGGTTTTCCTTCATTAGTACGAAGGTTGCGGCCGAACACCACAGGAGCACGCATCTCCCTGGGAGACATTGTGCTTAGTAAGCCAAGGGGTTCAGGAGAAATCTTCACAAGTACAGAAGTTGCTTGTGTCGTAACAGGTCTCCCTTGTGCATCGTTATCTACTGTTATCTTCAGTCTACACAGTTTGTCTGTTTGGGCTGTCTAGACACACGGTAATCTGCATCCTGCCGTCCAACTGTGGGATAAGTGCAAGTCGTGAAAATTTAACTATAAATTGTTTATTTATATACTTATCCTGCCACATGCGGTGGATGCCTGCGTAGTCTCCCCACTACTCAGGTTATGATGTTGGCTCCAAGAACAAGAATGATCACTCAGAGGTAGTCACGTGGGCAAGTAGTGAAGCATGTTGCATGCTTCATTGGGACTAGGGAAGCTGTCTTATAAGGAGAGCAGCCAGGAGTGTACGGGCGAATGGACAATGAGGCCTATGGAAAAAGTTACTATCGTTCCACTCAGTGTAGAAGCAAGAGAGAGAAGTGCAAGTCGTGAGATAGGATGAGTGTATAAATATACAATTTATCATTAATATTTCCATTATCTGTCATACTTTATGGTGTTTGCAGTGTGTTTTACATACCTGTACTAAACACAAAAGAATGTGAAATATTGTATGCTGTTGTGGATGTTTTTTGTGAACAAATTAGCATGTAGCATGCTCAAAGTGAGCAAGTGTGCCTACCCCCCAAATTCTGTTCCTCTTCGTTGTACAAAATTGGTTAGGAATCAGGTGGGTTTTGGTGTAATAATAATTGCCTTTTTCTCATTTGTTAATCCCCTAGGAATTGTAAACTGACTATCAATCATCCTTAACAAGAAGTGCGACTATGTCACTTCGCATTTTAAGTTTTGTTTGCATTCATGATTCAGATAACCATGAAAGTTTGGTCAACAGATAGAAGACAGGTATGTCTCTTTCTAAGCCTTGTTCTATTTTTTTGCTTCAGATAAAGATGACTGATGAGGAAAAGCTGAAAGTCTATGAGGAAATAGTTCGTTGTCGGAGGGCTCTTTCAGAATCACGCTTGCTTCAACGTCCACTGCAAGACAGCAGTTCCAGTTTCCTAAGAAACACCCTTCGAAGGTATGTTATAAACTTGCTTGGCATAAACATTTTCTTCTAAGGGTCGGGGTTTTTTGGTTTAGTTTCCGTCGGTATTGGCGTCGGTGTGTCCACTGTTTCCAGAACATAACTCTGAAACTACTTGAACAATCTTCACCAAATTTGGTATAGTGCCTCTCCATATCAGGGTTTAATTTTTTTTCAAATTTTATTTATTTTATTTGCTGTTTTCATGGCAACAATTTGGACTCTGTCTTTTTGAAAGGTAAAGTTTGTTTCCGGGGCAAAATTCTGAAACTATTTGACCCATCTTCACCAAATTTGCTATACTGCCCCTCCATATCATGCAGATGTGCCTTTTGGGGATTTGAGGTTATTTTTTCAATTTTACTTTTTTCTGTTTTCATGGCAACAAGTTGGACTTTGTCTTTTTTAAGGTAGAGATTTTGAAATTGAAGGAATCAAATGAATTGTTTGAGGTCTCAACGTTGAATTGGGGGAAGGCGGAGACATCTGCTTTTACGAGTAAAAGCACTTTCTAGTTGATATTGTGAGCAAAAATAAACGTAACATGTTCTAGACTTGGCGTGATTAATGAAGGGTCAAGTTTATCGATAACACTATTTCTTAAAAGTTGCACAATCTTCATTTTTGTTTGAAATATATACAACTGACTGTGTTACAAACTTTCTTAACAGTAAGGAAAATAAGGCTGCAACGATTCACCCAGACCTCAATTTGATTTTCGATATTGGACCCTCGATCTGATCCTTTTCGATTCGTTTCTTCATACAATTAAAATCATCAGATTTCATTTAACTCTCAGAGTCTGCTTTTTTAACCTGAAATCCATCATCAACTTGGCGATGTCTGCTAACAACAATTCTCATTTGATAATTAGCCCAGCGTCAACCAATCATGTTTTGCCTTATTTCAGCGCTCGAAAATGCTCTAGTTGGGAGTCAAAATTACGTTCTGGCTGTATTTTAAATAGGTATTCAAATATTGAATCAAAATAGCGATGACAATAGTGGCTGATCGAACACCTCCCGATAATACCCTTCCAGCATATCCAATACAAAAACGGTCTTCCCACACCCCGTCTGACCGCACACGATGGCACAATGCGGCTCTAGGGGTAGCTCAATATCAAACTTAATAGATGGCTTGCACCAATCTTCCATCTTGTATTTTGAGTTGCGCATCCATAATCACTTACAAATATAGGTTTAATTCACCACCAGTTTGAGCCTTCTTGGTAATTTGGATGGTGATCCCCTCGCTGCCTCGATGTGACGCCCGCTCCCATGTTGCCGATCGTCGTCTGTGGATCGCATGTCCAACCACAACTCGTACTTGGTCGTTAGGTATTGTCTGAGCGTTACGTAGGCGAGATCCTTAACGATCGCGTTGATTTCCGGTGGGCGCTTGATCGCTGGTAATTTTTTAATCTTGTCCCGCTGCTGGTAGGCTCGCATGCCTTGGCTAAACAGTTGATTGGGCATGCCCTCGACAGTCACTTCTACTTTCGTAATCTCGGGTTTCAAATATTTTTCGTTGACTCTTTGAAACTGTGAAAATTCTTCTACCAGAATGATCGAAATACCCTTCATCAATCAAGCGGCCAATTCAGATTGATATTCCACAACGTATTGCATTTATTCGCGACCATCTTCCGATGGCGTAGCACACGGTCGTACTAGATGGACAGCTTTCCCGAATTTGTCGAGCCAATTCTGGATTCGTGACCTTGTCGAAATGATTTGAGAGACGTTCCACAACTCGCTAAAGAAGCATCGAATGACATCGAAAAAATATTGTCTATGTACTGGAACGAACCCTTGCCAGGTTTCGAATTTACCATTCAAGAACTGCGAGGGCTAGACATGGCCATGCAAACCATTCGTGGATCGCTCGTTGACAACAAATTTTTTTAAAGCCATACTGGATGCGCTCGACGACCATATCACTCGTAAAAAAAACAACTCGACCAAGCAGAGGACGAGTTCAGCCGACCGAACACGTAGTCGACTTTCGACCGGGCATCTTGCAACGTGTCTTGGTAACGCTTAATGGCTGTCGTTAAATCCACAGGAGACGCGATGGAATCCTCGACATTCTCAACGAGAACACGGACTGACTCAGCGGATCACGACGAGTGTAGGTCACACCGCACCCCGTTGTCGCGCACCACACGGCGAAATTGAATTGATTTTGCCAGAATTGCATCGGGTTCGAAAACCAAGAGTGTACCGTTTTCACACTCGTGACGGGAAACCTATACTGTTTAAATACATTGATAAATCGAGCTCGAAGGATGGAGCCATCAGCATCCACCACAATCTTCGGTTGCGTGAGATCGGTAGCACTTATATTATCACTTTTAGGATAAAACACTCCATGGTGTAGACATGTTGAAAGTATAATTTAGTACCTTGTATATATTTAACTTGTTCGTCACACTCCCTGAAATCATGAATGCTGAACCCATTTTACTGCTTCGCGCAATCATTATGAGCTGACTGTTAAGGAAACCTGAGTGCGCCAACACAATAAATGAAGATAGAAAGCCAGTGTGGAATGCAAATGGGCGCGCAGTGTGGATGGCAAGGACGGGAAACCGCACTAAAGCATTGAAAGCCCACACGGGCTAGCGAAGCATTTGCAGACCCGCATGGGTTTGCACAAGTTGGTCCGCCGTGGCATGGCAGCCCAACTGCTGGGAAAACTCAACACTCCCCCCATGGAAGCAGCAGGTGGGAGCTTTGGGCTGCCGCTGTAACAGCGTGTACCGAGTATCCAGGTAAAGCAAGCAAGCAAGCAGTAATGTAGAGGTGCGGAGTCCCGCCGGTACCACACTGCACCAGTTTATTTACAACAGTGAAAAGTTACAAAGAAACCGACCTAACAAGATCTTACCACGCTAAGTCTTACTGGGTGGATACAGCCTGATTTGGGTGAGGGGTACCGACTGCAAGCAAAGCAAATTAAGAAAAAATGAAAGCAACATAGTCTGCCATTAAATTAACTGAGCTGATATAGAATTTTCATCGCATTCGCACTGTTTCATCCATATTGCGATCAAACAAGTGAAAACGGGTAAGACAAAAAATATAAATGATAACATAAATCATTGTGGAAGCTCGGTGAAAGGGAATGGGACGGGAGGGTGGGAAACGGACTTTCATACAGCAGTTAGCCGGAGCATGTAAAGTGCTATTAAAAAACGTGACGTAATGCCGGCGGATATTACGTGGCTCTAAGCTTAGCTGCACATGAGACAAGTTGTTGATGTAAGCGGAAGTGAATTCAGCGGAAGTGAATTCAAGCGTGGGAATTAGATGTTGGACGAAATGAAAACAATGGAGAGGTTAGAAATTGGAACGAAACGGTAACGCAGCCCATAACACCATTTAGCTAAATATTGCTAAATGTCATTATGAGCTGACTGTTAAGGAAACATGAGTGCGCCAACACAATTAATGAAGACAGAAAGCCAGTGTTGAATTCAAACAGGCGCAATGTGGATGGCGAGGACGGGAAACCGCACCGAAGCATGGAAAGCCCACACGGGCTAGCGAAGCATTTGCAGACCCGAACGGGTGTGCACAAGTTGGTCGCCGTGGCATGGCAGCCCAACTGCTGGGAAAACTCATCAATCGGATAGTAGGTGGGAGCTTTGGGCTCCTGCTGTAACAGCGGGTACCGAGTATCCAGGTAGAGCGAGCAAGCAAGCTGTATGTAGAGGTGCCAGTACCGTGCCAAACAGCCCCGCGCCACGGATGGGTGAGGGCTGCAGAGGCGCGTGGCTGCCATCCACACCGCTTAATCTGCTTAGTGTGTGTGTGTGTGTGTGTGTGTGTGTGTGTGTGTGTGTGTGTGTGTGTGTGTGCAGGGGGAGGGAGGGAGAGTGAGGGAAGGAGGGGTGGTGGTGTTGGGAAGAGACAAAGGAAGAGAGACAATGCGCATTACCAACAATTGTTTATGAAATTTCTGAATGAGACAAGTTCTCTGCCACACTCAGACATATTCCAGCTATGTGGCGGATATCTGCAAATAATGAGTGAGTGAGTTTAGTCTTACACTCAGTGATATTCCAGCTATATGGTGGCAGTCTGTAAGTAATGGACCAGACAATCCCGTGATCCGAAGCATGAGCATCCATGTGGGAACCAATGGCATGGCTCATCCAAGTCAGCGAGCCTGATCCACCGATCCTGTTAGTTGCCACTTACGACAAGCACGGGTTACTGAAGGCACATTCTAATCCGGATCTTCATGGGTACTGCAAAGTAATGAAGTGCGGGGACCAGACAATCCCTCTGAACAACAGTGCAAACCATGATCTACACAATTGGCCTACAATGACGTGTACCGGGCAAGTGAGTGAATGTAACCACCCAAACCTGGTACTGGTAGTCGCCTCTAACAACAAGCATCGGTTACTGCATACAAACCAAACCTGGGTCTTAGTTAAAGAAATAATTTTGTTAGCACCTCGCTCAGCAATATTGCAGCTAACCTGAGGCGGTCCGTGAACAAGAAGTACGGACCAGCGCCGCTATATGGCATACAACCTGTTATCGCTGATGATGGCAAGCACAGGCTAATGCAGGCTACTACTGTAACTGGCCTGCGTCACGTAGGCGAGCTGAAATGAGATGACACAGAAATGATCATTTTAGGTTAATGCCTGCACCGCGTGACGGGACTCGTACACCACGGGGAATTTAGGCGATAATCACATGGACAATTACGCCATTAAGGCTCGAGTTAGGGAGTGGAAGAACACTTGTATGCCCTGCCTGTTCAGGTGAACTTTGTCTCTGGCACTGATGTGGGCGTCGGTGATATCGGGGTGCAGAGTCACTTTCCCTCCCAGTTCCCGCACAACATTGGCAACGCGCCTGTTAAGTTTGCGCCGCTTGATATCTATGGCCCGTGGGTTCTGCGCCCCCCTCCATGCTAGCCTGGGCAGCATGCATGACTATTTGATTGTGGATTTTGGACACGTAAGATGCAGGAAGAGTAAATCAAGATATATATTATCAAAGAGCAGTTTAGCTGGTGTAGCACAGAGGTCATTTGAGCCTTAGTGGATAACCATGACTTTTGGCTGTGCCTCCTGAGTGATAAGCCTATCGATGAAGGTACGGAACTGGGCCCATCGCATCCCCCCTTTGACCAGCCACTTGCCGCTGATTGCAAATCGCTGTCATGCCTCCGTATGATGTAGCAGCTGGGCCAAGTGGCTGGACCCGATGAACCAGGCTGCATCTGAAACTCGTGGAGATAGTTTTAGGATTTTGCATAACATTTCGCCCTAACACATGTAAAGATCATAAGATGGTATGCGGATGTATGTCCGGTAAGCAGCCGACTTCCAACGCACCAGTTCCTGGATCTGTTGTGAACTGACGCCTTGTAATGCTGCTGTGGTGGCGGCCCCTATGCGAAATGAATGTGACGAGTACAAACTAGGGTTGATGGGCTCCGGGATTGACGCCAAGGCCTTTTTGAGCACTGCCTGAAATTGTAATTTTGATAGTGGGGAGCTACCGGTAGGTCTGATGCAGCGGAAACGCTGCACTGCTGCGACAGGACATAATGGGGAGTTCGGCAATGCCTGAATAGTGATGTATGCTCCCCTGACCATCCTGATCTGTTTTGGAGCTCCGCAAATGTACCTGTATGGCTGATAAGTCACCTGCGATGGTTATATCTGAAAACAGGCAAGCTCTGTTAGTGGTGTCTTTGCTGAGACTGCTACCAGCTGACCGACTCTGAAAAACCCAAAGAAAGTCAACAAATATGCAGCAGCAAACAGCGCTACCTCGTTGGACTGGCTACAGACCAAAGGCAAGGCACGAATGATCTCTGCAAGCAGGTGAGTTGTTATTGGTTGTCGAGTATCCTGTCGATGAGACAATCTAGACATACATGAAAGAGCTTTCTGAACAAGGAAGTGGTGCAACACATCA